GAGTCAATCTGGTTAAATCCTCAGCGCTGCCCTGACAATGCTGCCAAGAGTTCTGCATTGTGGAGAAAGTCCTAACAGAAAAGGACTTACTGAAAGTGTCATAGAGGAGACAGAAATGGATGGATTTTGTAGCATTTTGCAACACTATGGCACAGCAGTTTGTATTTTACGTTAGGAACTTGCTTGCTGGAGACAAACCCAATTTTCTTTCTACAGCAACAGAGATTATTAAAAGATTTCACACGGCCAAATACAAACATGCTTTTTAAATCAAGGAATACTGATTCCTTCATAACATATTACTAATTTTATAGTTATGTGATTACACATATCAAATTACTTTTGTCAGACTAGAGGTGTGACAAAGATGACAATCTTGCCACTTCTGTGACTGCCATGAACCAGGAAGACTGCTCACTTGAAGTGAGACAATGATCCAAACTACTCCAAAAATGAGACCCTCATTCCACAGAGCTCTAATTGCCTCCAAAGAAAACTGCTTGCTTGAGAAGCTCATTGTATCACAACCACAAACAGTGTCATTACTGCTCAGTCCTAGTTGGGCTCAGCACTGTTTGTTCGCTTCCCTCATGCCTCAACTTTCACCAAAACAAAAGACCCTAATAAGCCATTAGGAATATCCTTCTGACAAAGTGTGAGAGCTGAGTGCTTCTAATTCAGACAAATCAGAAGAGAAGGGAATCAGCCTCCCTGAAGAGAACGTGACTATATTTGGCACACAGTGATCACTATTTTTCGCCAGGCTCCCCATATCCTGCCAGGTGGATTCCCAGAGGAGAGGACATACCTTCTCCCAGGCATGACACTGCTAGCAGAAGATCTTATTAAAGGTTTTCTAAGAGGGGAATGCTGATAGCTTTGCTCTTCACTGCTTTGTCTTCCTTCATCTTCACCTGCTTTCTTCTCCTTGGATGAAAATTCCCTTTTTGCTGGACCTGAAATCACACATAAATATGAAACCAGGTACCTGCCAAGTAGTTTAAGCAACAGCTTTTTCTTTACCCCATGGAGGTGGTGATGAAAACTAAGACTCCCAGTCTTGCACATGCATTCAAAACTTCCACAACAATTTGTACTAGGAGCTATACCAAGTTTCCACCAATTGCTGTCAAGGTCATTGTTCTATAAAGAATCAGTATTTTTCAAGACAATATCACTTAGCAATAATGGTAATTAGCAATAAATGAAGTCTAATCCTGAACTGAATCACAGTTCTCTCAGATTTGCAATATAATCCACAAGCCATAACTCCCAATGAGATACAAAATCCATTCCATCTGTGTAAATCACAATTCCAAGTGCTCCTACTGAAAGTATTTATTTCACGTATCCAAGCATAGACTCAGGCTGGCATGAATTAACACTTGCAGGAAGAGAGAATTTCTCCTTCCAGAGACCATTTTTCCACCTGTATTTTTCCAGCTGGATTTCTTGAACCCTCCAAGAATAGTTATTTTGGAATGCTGCCACAGACATAACACCATGATAAAATTACACGGGCAAAGAGGCAGCCCTAGAGCTGCTGCTTCAAGATGTTAATTTCAAGGAGACAACTCAGCAGCTATTTGTTTTCTGGAAGGCAAGGCTGTGGTTGGTCAAAGCTGAGGTGAACCATCCGTGTGCTGGCAGCTGAAGTGCACCCACAGGCTAGGTGCACTTCAGGCACACACACTGCATTCATGGAGCAAAAGAAAGGGAAGCACTTGACATTATAAGTATTCCTTTGGGGACTGAACAATTTCCTCTTGCCCTGATACCAAGCAGGGTCTGGAATTCAGGTTTCCCACTTCTAAACTCTGTAGGTTATTCTCTTTTTTTGGTTCAAACGGTGTCTAACTATTGATGCACAGAACAGCAACGTCAGCAGACACTGCAGAGATTCTCAGAACACTTTCCCTAGGTTGGTTCTCGGAACCTTTTCCTGAAAGCTAGAAGTTCACATCCCAGTCCATGATCTGAGGCAGGCAGCAAGGCATTTCAGACTGGGTTTTCTTATACCCCTAAAGAATATCCTACTTCTGGACAGAAGCACAAAGATGAACATCACCATATTGCTATTGTATATTGCATTAAGGATTCAACTATGATATCGCCTAGTAAGAGATAATTTAGGTATATCATCCTCAGCACATCAAGGAAAAAAAGAGCAGTTGGCTCGCTACTTATACATCATTCAGTAGTCTGGAAACACAGACTTACTTGTTTTCTTCTTTTGCCAAAATGTTACTATGTCTTTGTGCAACTCTTTCGCTTTTTTTCTGGCCAGAACTGCAGAGGCCTGAAAGGAAACAAAAGAAGAGCACGGAAACCTATTGGCATCACAACACAGAAACACACAGTGCAGCCTTTGCCAGAGAAACATTTACTAATCCCCAAAAAATTCTGGTTGCTGCATTTTAGCTTCACTTAAGACCTACATGCAGTCAGCTGAATTGGTCTCCACAAGAAAGTGTTACTTTTCTTCAAACAAGAGTGTAGTTTTCACTACTGCTGGCCCGACCCCAAGCACTCAGATATAAGTCTTTCTTCATAGAATCAGAAACTGGATTGGGTTGGAAGGGACCATTCAGCTACATCTCCCTGCCCCCTGCCTTGAGCAAAGACACCTTCCACTAGACCAGGCTGCTCCAAGCCTCATTCAACCTGATCTCGGACATTTCCGAGGATGGGGCAGCCACACCTCTGGGCAACCTGTGCCAGGGCCTCATCACCTTCAAATAATTTCTTCCTAGCATCTAACTCCTCTTTTAGTTTACACTGTTTCCCCTTGTCCTCTTCCAATCTGTCCCTGTAAAAAGTTGCTTTCCCTCTTTATTGTAAGCCCCCTTTAGACACTGGAAGGGGCTCTAAGGTCTCCCTGGAGGCCTCTCCAGGCTGAAAACTTCCAAGAGTTATGCCACTTCTGATACTCACATGATCAAAAAAGTGGAGAACAGCCATTTTTTTATTGCGCCTGGTCATGATCCGGCGAACTTTTGCGAACTGGCCGAAGTGTTTTTCCAGCACAGTCCTGTCGTTCAGGTAGTCAGGGATGTTCTTGCACTGGACAGCCGTCAGCTCGGTGGCTGGCAGGCCCCCCAGCCCCTCCGTGCTCTCGCTGCCGCGGCTCCGGCGAGCAGGGGCGGCGGGGGCCGCATCTGCGACGAAGAGGAACGCGACAGCAGTCAGCAAGCGGGGAGACACCCGGGCGGCAGGGCTGCCCCCCACCAGACCCCCGCCCACCTTCTCGGGCGGGCTCCCGAGCCTCGGCCGGCGGTGGCTCCTCGGCGGGTCCCCGCTCGGCCTCGGGGCCGTCCCCACGCTCCCGCTGCTCGCGGGCCTGGCTGCGCAGCAGATCCTCCAGCGTGCGGCCGAACAGGATACCACCGCGGGGCCGGCTCAGCATCACGGCCCGCTTCTCCGGCGGCGCCGCTGCCCGCCCGCCCGCCGCCGCCCGCCGCGGCGAGCGCTCCCGCTCCTCCTTCCGCTTCAGCCCCTTGGACGGCGGCTCCCCCGGATCCTCCGGCAGCACCCTCAGACCTCTCTCTTCCGGCCGCCCCAAAGCGGCAACGGGACGTGAGAAAGAGAAAGGCTCCCGCGCCACCGCCGCCTCGGGGCCCGTCTCGGACGAGAAGGCGAAGGGCGACGAGAAAGTAAAGGCGGCGGGGGCAGCCGGGCCCTTCTCCGCCTCGCCGCCTGACAGAGGCTTGAAGGCGGCGGCACTCTCGGGCGCCTTGAAGCGGAACTCAGGAGCGGCGAAGACACCGCCGCCCCCACCTGACGCTTCGCTGGAGGTCGGGAAGCCGCCCAGGCTGGTGGGCGGCCTGAAGCTGAATCCCGCGTTCCCCGCCGGGGCCGGAGCCTGGCCCAGCGCGTAGGGCGGCGCGAAGGTGGCGGCGGGCGCAAAGGGGAGGCCGGCGGGGCCGCCGCCCTGGCCGAACACGGCGGGCTGCCCGAAGCGCAGCGGCGGCGGGAAGGAGGGCGGGCTGCGGAACGGGCCCCGCGCCGACATCGCTGCGGAGGCGGCCTCGGACCGCCGGACGTAACGCGCCCCGCATGCGCAGTGGGGAGAGGCCCTAGCCATGGGGCGGAGAACGGCGTGCAGGGGAAAAGTGGGCGGGACTAGGCGGCAGCAGACCGCTAGGGGCGGGGAGACGGGTGGGAGGAGCGTTGTGGCGTGTCCGTGGTCTAAGTGGGGGGGGATTCAGTTGGGCGGGCATTCTAACGGCTGGACAGAAGGGTGGGCCGGATTCTTGTATAGGGCGTGGTCTCGGTTGTGGGCAGGACCTCAGGACGGAGGCGCACTGTGGTGGGCGGCGGTAGCGGCGCTGCCATGAGCGTGGCGCTGCGAAATGCGCAGCGCGCTGTGCCCGTGCGCCGGGCCCCGCTCCGCCGCGCCGTGTGTGCCTTGCGCTCCGCCCTGGGCGCCTCCCGCTTCGACGTAGGGCTAGTCTGCGCCAGCAACGCGTTGATGCAGAGACTGAACGGCACCTACCGACATTGCCCGGAGCCCACCGACGTCCTCTCTTTCCCGTTCCACCAAGTGGAGGCGGGGGAGCTGCCGCGGCCGTGTTGCCGCGGCGAGTACAACCTGGGGGACATCTTCCTGGGGGTGGAATACATCCACCAGCAGTGCCGCGAAACCGGGGAGGATTTTGACGATGTCCTGACGGTGAGCCCGGCTCGGGCCTGACGGGCGGTGGGGCGGGCATGCGGCTCGGTCAGTAACACATGTTGTGCTCCCGCCCCCCGCGCAGGTGACGGCGGCCCACGGATTGTGCCACCTGCTCGGCTACCGGCACGACACGAAACCCGAGTGGGAGCAGGTGCAGGATGCGCTGGAGCCGGGGAGGGTGTGTGGGGTCCGGCATGGGGTGGACCGGAGGCCCCGGTGACGGGAACCGGGGTTGGCCCGGTGCTGACCGCCGCTGCTCCCGCAGATGTACCAGAAGGAAGTGCAAATCCTGGAGGAGTTGAACCGCCTCACAGGCTCCCGCTTGCGGCCCCTCACCGCCGGCCTCTTCTGAGAGACGGAGGGGCAGAGGCTCCTTCGGCGCCGCCCCGGACGTGTCGTGGGGATGGCGGCGCTGGGGCCTGGCGGCCGCTGTGCCCCGGCGCTGCCGCTGCTGCTTGGCCTGGCCGCGCTCGCCCTCCCGCCGTCGCTCGCCGCCGCCTCCGAGCCGCCGCCCGCCGCCCTCCGCGCTGGCCACGCCGCCTCCTCGCTGCCCGCCGCCGCTGCCGCCTCGCGCACCAGGTGAGCAGCGCCGGCCCCGCCGCGTCCGACCCCGGGCCGGTCCTGCCCCTCGAGATCTCCCCCGCCGCGCGGTGTCTCCGCCGTGTCTCGGCTCTCAGCTGGTAGAGGGCCTCCTTCGCCTACTGGTGCTTTTTTTGGTTGTTTTTGGAAGGTGACATCTCAGCTGTCCGAGAGCTTTGGTCTGTAGAATATCCTGTGTTGTAACGAACCCCACAGGGATTATCTAGCTCCCACATGCTTTCTTTTCCTCTACTTCTCTGGAGCACGCCCTCCTGCCTTTGTGTCCAGCTTACAAGAGTTTGCCTGGGTTATATGCCTGTGGTTTCACCATTTTCACCACGCACTCCACGTTACCCTTTGGAGAAGCAAGATTCTTTGCTCGTTGACCCTCTGCAAGAAAGGCTCCTTTCACGTGCCATCTCGCCAGGAGACCCTAGTGGCCCCTCCAGCCCCTGCGGCACACACTGCTCTGACTTCCCATACTTCTTCCCCTTCCAAGTACCACAAATTCAAAAAGACGAACAACTTTCTTCCCAACATATTTCATCACAGGATTGTAGGGTAAAAAAGAAAAACGTGTAATAGCCTCAATGTGCTCCCAGAAAAAATGGTATTCCTTTGTTCTCCCCAGATACCTTTTGTATGATGTAAACCCCCCTGAAGGGTTCAACCTTCGCAGAGATGTCTACGTTCGCATTGCTTCCCTTCTAAAGACCCTGCGGAAAAGTGAAAACTGGGTGTTGGTTCTGCCTCCCTGGGGACGTCTTTATCACTGGCAGAGCCCTGATATCCTCCAGGTTCGGATCGCTTGGTCCGAGTTCTTTGATATCCCAAGTCTCAACAAGAACATCCCTGTCATCGAATATGAGCAGTTCCTTGCAGGTGGGGTATAGGATCATGCAATCTACAATTAATTAAATATTTGATATGGTTTCTTAAGAGGTTTGTCCTTATAGGGGCTTTCATGTAAAAAAAAAAATCGTAGAGGTGGCAAGAGGAGAGATGGGAAGAAGTTTTGCTGAGCTACACAGCCACTGGAATGGAATAACCCAATTACTTGGCAGCTTGTTTGATGTAGCACTGCTGCCCCCTTGACTTCTGGGACCCTTGAAGATAGACAATTAGTACCTGTGGTTAAATTCACCTGTGGTATTTCCGTGTGGTTTTGACCATAATGACAAACCATAAGGAGAGAGGCAGCTTGTTGGAATACAGACAAGTCACCTTTTTCCTGGATATGGTGGTTGGACAGTAAAAGTTGTGAAGCAGGTTCTTCCCTTAACTTACTTTTTTGTCATTGATATTGCACATACTTGAAATATCCCTTGCTCTTTGTGTCTAAGAGAAAGGCTTTCCATAAGAAAGTGAAGTTGGTTCCTTTAGGATTTAATGCCATGTTGAGCTAATCACCAAATTTTCAATTGGTGAACGTTGCACACTAACATGTTCAGCAAAGGAAATAAAGGCCACCAAATGTCACACTGCTGCAAAGAGCTCTGAAGGGAAAGCTGTTCCCTGCCTGCCAAGAAAATGCTCGTAGAGACCCTGAACTTTAGGAGAAGAAGGGCTTGTACTTGGCATTTTTCTTGGAGGCACTCCTCCTGTGGCAGCTGCTTACAGCACTGAAAATCTGTGTGTTTTAACCAGGTGACAGTGATTCTGTTGCATTTGGCACATTAAATCCCACAGAGCTGGGTGGTGGGATAGCAGGTGATCACATTGCCTGACCCTTTTAGCTTTTCTGGCTCTCACAGAACTTCCCTTCCTTCTTTATAATGAAAACAGAGAAGAGAGAGTAGTGTAATATTAGCATTTCTAGCAGATTTTTAACTGCAACTGATCCTTGTTCATACCTTTACGGTGTGGGTTTTAATGCTTACAAATCCTTTGCTTTGCCTTCTGTTCAGAGTCAGGTGGGCCCTTTATTGAACAGGTTTATGTGCTACAAGGCTACGCAGAAGGATGGAAAGAAGGAACATGGGAAGAAAAAATAGATGAAAAACCATGCATTGATCAGCTGATGTACTCCAGAGACAAACATGGCTACTACAGGTAACATCGAGCATTCTTTCTGGTCTTTACAGTTGTATTCAGAGAGATATTTCCCTACTGTAGATATCTGGGTGCTTGGAGTTCACTTTGTTTTAAAAAGCCCATGAATAGTAAAACGTTGTACTTGTATGAGAAAAGTCTAATTCTATAAAGTTGTTTCTACACTGAAAAGCAGTGTAAAGGAGGTGGCTGGTTTATTTGTATCATATATAGTTTTTTAGGATGTTTTGTTTTATATCTGGCATTAATTTAAAATACAAGCCTGTGAACCAATCCTCTGTGTTCCCATTTAGGGGCTGGTTCTGGGGTTATGAGGAAACACGAGGCCTAAATGCCTCTTGCTTGTCTGTCCAAGGATCTGCCTCTATTGTGGCTCCCATCCTTCTGAAGAACACTTCAGCACAGTGAGTTCCCTTGTATAACTGCGTATTGTTGTATAATTGTTGTACAACCCCATTGCTAGGTGGGAAGAGCAGGGGGAATTTAAAGGGTTGTCCACTGTTGAGATACTTCACCACTGAATTATTGTACTCTGTTAAAATAATAAAAAAGAAATTTACAGTGCAAGAAACACTTAACTGTAAGTTTAGTTAAAGATTGCAGTGCTCAAACCTAAGAGCAGATAGCCTTGAGCTCCTTTATATTCCTTCTCAGGCAGCCTTTGTGACTTATACCTCCAAGGTATCATCAAATAATCCCATAGATCATGCAGTGTAAGAGATGCTAAACCATCAGCTGTTCCATATTCTACTCCACGGCACATGTAATTTTACATCTCTGGCACATTCCCCCTTAGCAGTCTCCTCTGCAGTCCTGGAAGAGCCCTGGCTCCATTAGTTGCTCGCCATGTGAAAGCCATTCCATGCCTTTGGTTGTCACCACTGCCAATCTCCAAACCTTATGGAACCAGTTCAGCAGGATCCTGCACTGTGTGTGGGTAAACCTGTTACATTGCAGTACAAATGGCATGTTCTGTCAAGTGCTCTCTTCTTTTTCTGCTAACTCTTGAGACACAGATTCCTTATTTTGATCTTTGAGTGTTGCCTTGATGTTGGCACCAAACTGTCCTCATTCCTGACCATCAAGACCTTTAGTTATTAGATGAAGCCAGGTTTTGTTGGTTTTTTTTACTACACTCACTCCTGCCTTAGAATTCATCCGCCACTTTATTGGCCAGTGATCAGACTTCTCTAATTCTTCATAGTTGGCCTTAGCTGCTCTGAGGAATTTAAAATAATTAAGCTGTGTCACCTACTTTCATGCCCTTCTGTACATTGTTTAGGAATATGGTGGAGAGACCTTCCACTTGTGACCTCCATCTGCAATGAGAGCCATGCATTTATCCCTGTCTCTATACTTTTTTTTTTTTTTAGTCCATGCAAGAACCTTTCTGTGCCATGTTTTAAGAAAACCTTTAATGAAGGCTGTCAGGAAATCTTGTTAGGCAATGTTCAGTGAGATGTCCCTTATCTTCATGTGTGCTAGTGTCTTCAAACTACTATGATTGTTCAGAGCTCTTATCTCCCATGTTGCTCTTCTGGCTGGGCAACCAGTTGTGTGGCCCTAGGACTGGATTTTTACCCCTTAAGTGTGGTCACTTCAAGGCAACTTTTCAATGCATTTCAATTAGTACCCTCAATCACCTCCAATCGTCCTGTTAGATGTAGTACTGCTTCTTCACCAGCACAGTCTTGTCTGTTTCCAGGTGATTTAGGGCCTTCCGTGCAGGTGTACAGCTGATGATCAGCAGTGGTAATCCAAAGTTGATTGGTTATTTGCTTCCTCTCTTTTTAGTAGAAGGAGATGCAGATAATCTTGATCTTGATCCCTTTTAGCAGAAGCATTTTTCTGTGTGTTTTCTTATCAGTGTGCTCACAAACTAAATCTGCATCTCTTATGCTCTGGAATACTTGAAGCTCTCAAAATCTCTTCTCTTAGAATTTTCATAGTGCAGTTATGCTTCCAGTACGCAATCCTGAACTGTGTTTATTTGTGAGAAGGGCAAGCTGCTGTCTACTACCACATATTTTGGTAATATCTCTGTGTTCTTTGATCTGTTGTTTTACTGTAGGACGTTTTATTCTACATGTGGAAAACACCTTCACTGGGTTTGTTTTCATGATCTTCTGCTTGCTCCCAGAGGCTGTTGTGTGCTCTGAGGCCGAGCATTATCACACAGGTCACTTGTCCCCTTTGGATTACTCTCCCTGTTAGAAATCTGATTTCTCCTATAGCAACTGTTACAAAGACTGTGAGGGGTGGTTAATGCTTGTTAGTGTTTAACTCTCAGAGTCAAGATACGATTTATTAGGGAAGAGAGCAGGCACAGGGAGTGACATGGTTGCCTTTTCTCCCTAGCAGACTGTGGGTCACAATTTGCCTTGTAGAGAACTAGCATTTGCCTCCTAGGAGCCTCATTCCCAGGAGCCTGTCCCTTATTCCCCATGTTCCTTTAGCAAAACAGACTAATGTGTACACAAATGTGTAAAGAAACGTCATAATGTAAATTCTATTCCTAAGGGAACTGCACTCAGTTTTACAATTTTCAATAGGTCAGTGATGTTAGACAGAGCTGAAAACCTTCTTCATGACCACTACGGAGGGAAAGATTATTGGAATGTGAGTATTTTACAGATAGCTTCTCTAGACTTTTTCCCTGGCTCTGCTAAAAATTCAGTAACCAATGCGTGCTTCAGTTTTGCCTTGGGTTTCTTGTCTTGAAAGTCACTTGTGCCTTCTGTTTCAGCAATGTGTGCTAACATGGTTTCAGGCTGCTGTGGATTAATGTGACACAGGAATTTGCCCTGCTGTCTTGTGCCTAAAGGCCTAGTGCTGCAGATCATGGTGATTAAAAGGACCTCCCCTATATAACATATCTACAGTCAGAAGGGAGCAGTTTCTTATCTAGTCAACCTCAAGATTAGTCTTTTCAAAAGAATTCTGTAAAGTGCTCGTTGCTGCCCCAAATCCCTCCCCACTGGCTTCAAAGGCAAAATTCCCATGGGTTTCAAGGCAAAGGTCTATGGTAAATAATTCCTTTCATAAAAGTTTTAAGAAAATGTTGAAGTTCAGGCACAGGAAAATGGAACATGCCATGGGGTGCTTGATATAGTTGAAATTCCTAAGAAAAACTGACTGACTGTCATGATACTACAAAACAAATTACATGGACCTCAGTCTTGTAAATATCGGGCTATTCACTTGAGATATGGCATGTTTCCAGAAGTGGACCAAACACTAGTTTGCTACCCAAGAATTATTCATTGAGAGTGACCTCTCAAAGAAAGAAATGCAACTATATTTGAGTATGACTTGTCCTGTAAAAGGAGACATGAAATCCACATGGGTCTATAGCACACATTTCTTAGCAGTGGCACTTTAAACATTGCCCCAGTGGTTTTGCCTGATGTCCAAACAAAAATTTTCTCACTGCAGCATGGGCCCAGGGCCTCTTCTCTTTTTTCCATGTTCCTCTGAGAAGCATCTCTCCCTTCTCTGTTTCTTTGCAGACAAAAAGGGAAAACTTGAGATTTCTGTAATTCTTTTGCCTGTTAATAAAAAGGCCACTTGTGGCTGTGTGCAGGGGTAACTGCATCACCGAATCTTAGAGATTATTACTCACAGGTTAAGGAAATAATTCCTTTTTCGTCATTTTTCCACTGAATTTCCTAGGCGTGTCTGTGGCTAGATACATAATATTTTTAAAGCAGGTTTTATTCTTAAAGGTGTTTAGCACACTAAAGTGTTTGCCCAGCTTTTGTTTCCACAAGTGAGGTATATTGCTAGGGTGTTTAATTTGGTGTATCATGTATTCTGTTGCGTAAATAACTGCAGTGTCCTCCCTATACCTGTGCATTGCAGGGACAGGTGAGTATGCTGGTTATAAATATGGTGATAATTAGAAATAAACTATCAAAGCTTGGATAAAATCGTTGCTTAGAGTACTGCAGAAGTAACTGTATCCTGAAAGTGCTGTGTATGTGAAACTGTCTCCACCTACTCATTTTTAGCTCTCCTTTTTCTGACTCAGTGTCTGCTCTTATTCCAACAGACCCGTCGGAGCATGGTGTTTGCTAAACACCTCCGTGTGGTGGGAGACAAGTTTAGAAAGAAATACCTTCAATCCACTGATGAGGCAGACAGGACTCAGTACAAGGAGGACTGGACACAGATGAGGGTAAAATCCTTAATAGTCTGTTTCCCATAACAAATATTTTATTTGTGTATTCCTGGCTGTGTGCTGTAGGACATATTGGAAGGTACAGGTGAGCAACACCCTTCTGTTCGCATCAAGGTGGACACACATGTTCCTCATGCACCTTCTTCTCCCTATGTGACACAAGCTAACAGAGTCTGTCCAGGTGTGCCTGACTGGTTCTGAAGGCCAGATCTTTGTTGCCCTCATTTCAGTAAAGGAAACTTGAATTTCTTCCTGTTTTCAACACTACGTGTGGGTGTAATGTTCAACTGCAACCTGCCAGTTGAGGATTTATTTGGTAAAGGAGAGGAATTTTTGCTTACAAAGATTTGGCACTCCAGTCTCTCTTGCATGATGGTGGCCACCCAAGATCTAAATGTTGCAACAAGTGTCCCAAGCTACTTCCAGTCCATACTTGAAACTTTCTGTCTGCAACTAGAGAGATTCCGTGCCTTATACAGAGATGATTGCATTCTGGTTTTACAGTGTGAATAGTGATACTCTCAAGTTTTAAAGTTTCAGTCTTTCTCTCGTAGGTTAAGACAGGCACAGCTCTAGGTGGCCCATACCTTGGGGTTCATCTCAGAAGGAGAGACTTCGTTTGGGGTCACAGAGAAGACGTGCCTTCCCTGCAAGGAGCAGTAAAGAAAATCCATAGCCTATTGGAGTCGCTTAAACTTGAAAGAGTTTTTGTAGCCACTGATGCTGTTGAGGAAGGTAGGCAGATCACAGTTACTTGAGGATTGGTAACTTCAGAGGAGTGCAGCAGTTACCACTGGCTCCCCTCCCTCCCTGCAATGCTGTGAATTTCAGCAACTGAATTTGTAAAACTTGTTGGTAGATTTTGGTGTCACTTGCTCTGTAACTGTTCACCCGAGATTTCCTTAAACAAACACATTGTGTGACAGCAGTGAGTTGCTGTTCATAATGTAGAGATAAATTCATATCCTTCCTTTTTTAAGAGATTGAATTGCTCAAGAAACTGCTGCCTGAGATGGTGAGGTTTGAACCCTCTCTGAAGGAACTGAAACTCTATAAGGATGGGGGCTTAGCTGTGATTGACCAGTGGATTTGCGCACATGCAAGGTAGCAAACCTTTTATTCAGCCAAAGCTTATTATTCAGCACTGTCACAAAACTGAATATGATTTTTGTCCCAAGGTTGTTTACAAATAGTGTAAGACATTATATAGTCAATGATATAATTGAGATGTGTATAGTAGATGTATAATGGTTATATTGTGTGTGTATATACAATAATTTTATTATCATATCATTTCACTGAACAGTGAAGTTCATTGACCTGAAATCTAATTACTTGCATTTTAAAAACTTGCCCTCCTCTCACAAACCCTCTTTTGATTTTTTTCCACAGATATTTTATAGGCACCTCAGTTTCAACATTTTCCTTCCGAATCCATGAGGAAAGGGAGATCTTGGGATTTGATCCAAAAACAACTTACAACCGATTTTGTGGTGAAACAGAGAAAAACTGTGAGCAGCCAGCTCACTGGAAAATTGTATATTAAACACAGAGAAACACAAAGGTTTTGATACTGTTAGAGTTCAAACTTTTGAGGAAAAATCATGGGGAATTACCTGCTTTGGATCGATGTATGACCCAGTCTTGTATTCTCAGTTCCCGCTCCCCTTCCAGCCGTGGGTATGACGTGGGGTAGCTGTACTGCTCAGTGTCTCTGGACCTCACAGCATTTCTATGTGGCTGCTGCACCTGGGTCCCCAGTATGTTCTGTGCTTGCTGACATGTGGTCCCACATGCACCAAATGGGCTGCTACAGACCACAGGGGCCTCTTGGCTGCAGAGCTGTGATGGGAAGCAGCAAAGCGATGCCCAGGATGCAGCAGTTCAACCCAGCCTCGCCTGCTGGAGCATTTCTTACCTGTCCGTGGTTCTCTCTGTGGGTCTGTGGTCATTTTTTAACTGCAGGGCTGGGGGTCCTGGCCATGTCACCAGGAGTGCTCACCCTGGGAGCGCTAGTCTCAACCCAGGGAGGAACTAAGCTGCCACTGGATTAAAAGTGGGGGGAGCTGCTTCCACTCTAAGGGCCTGCAGGGCCCATCTCTTGGGGATTCATCTTTCATGTGAAGGCACATTGCCTGGCGAAGAAAGAGACTGGTACCTGGTGGAGCAGGGACAATATTCCATTTTCCAGAGGCAGCTCCCTCCTCTGCCTGCCGCAGCAGGGGAGGATGGGTGTGTTCAGCACTGCTGCTGGCAGGGGGAGCAAAGCTCGTGGCCCTCTTAGGAGGGTCCTGGTTGCTTCAGGGCCTTGCTTTTCCACTGGTTTGTGTCCACAAAGGAAAGACATGCAGAAGGCAGAACCATCACCACAGCCCTTTACTCAGGAGTCCATCAGCCTTCCCCACAGTGAATGTGGCTAAACCCTTCAACTACTCTGCAAAACTCACCACCACTGCAAAGAAGAGCAGCAGTTTATCCACAGGGGGCTTCTGACCTGTTGCCCATTATGCGTCTGGAGGAATTCAAGTGCTTATTTTGTGTCTTTACAAGTGTGGCCAAAGCCACACACACAGAGCCATAACAAATTTTTGCACTGTACCAATAAAAACTAATAACATTATTTCTTAGAAAACTGTTGGGGATAAAATTCAATGCAAAGAAAAAATCTAAATATAAAAAATCAAGATGTGGTGCACACTGATGCAGTGTTTCTGCTTTTGAGCTCAGTCTTCCCTTCTTGTGTGAGCTCCCTTTTGTCACGTTTGCATTTTTGTCATCTATTTTTAGCTAAATAATACTGATAGTGTCAGTCATACAGTGCCCAAGATTCATCTCGTAAGTCAGCCCTGCTGCTCAGGTCTCAGCACATCAGGGTGTAGCTGTTGGTGTTCCCAATTGCTGCAAAGTTTCAAGTGTGTGTTTAAAGTGTCCCCTTGCTATTGGCTGGTGTCCAGCAGTGCCCCTTCATCACTATTGAGTCCCTTTCTGGTGGCCCATGTTAGCCTAAGCTTCTAACGCTCTCTGGATTCATGGGACTGGGGATTCCAGCATGCACCACAGAGGATTTTTCAGGGACATCCCTTGAGCCCCAAATCCATGTGAGTCCAAAGCAAAAATCCCTGGGAGCTGAAGGCAACAGGATGCTTCTTGAGAATTTTGAAGTATTCAATGTGTCCTAAATGTTAGGTTTGAATGAATGCCAATTGTCCAGGGTTGTGTGTTTGGAGTTGCTGGTTTAGGGATGGCTGGGTCTGGATTTGGATTTGTAGGCACCGAGAGTTCCTTGTGTCAGGTTTAGGTTTGGATTTGTGGGACTTGTTGGAGAAAAGAAGGAAATGGAAATGCGCATTTCTGTTCTTGGAGAAATTAGCAGGATGGGAGAAAAGAGGGTGTGGAACTGCTGGGAGCTCCTGGAGTGAGGGAGAGGATCCAAGGATGGGAAGCAAAAGCTGTGAAACAAAGCCCAAAAAGGGGCAGGGCAGTGCGGGCACCATGGGGGAAAGAGGGAAAGAACCCCTGCTCCTGGAATCCAGCAGGGGGCAGGGGAGGATCATTTTCCATCCACTGGCTCTTGGTGGAATCCTAATAATGAAGGTCAAAGAAAATGGTTCATTTGTTATTAGGTTTGGAATGAAAGGTGCCATTCCGGAGGGGAATATTTACCTATTAAAATTCTGTTGGATAAAGGAAGAGAGGGAGGAAGTAGCTGGGGGATGAACAGGTGGCTTTCTGGTGGATACAGGGAAAGACATAGGAAGGGGGTTTTATGTAAAATGCACCTCACGGGTACCATCAGGAAAAGCCAAAATTGCCCTTTTTTCCAAGCTCTGATATTCCAGAGGAGTAAACAGTGGTTAGCACATCTATTCCTGTGTTCCTTGTACACCCAGTGCTTTGTTGAGAAGAGATAATATTAGGAAATGAACAAATCCAGGGATGTAATTCCTGATAGTAAAGCCCTGCAAGCCCAGGTTTTCATATTCTTCCAGCACGCAAAGGCAACAGAGGGAATCCTGGAGGAAGTGGAAAATGCTGTCACTCCATTGATGGAACTCCTGGGACACTGAAGGCAGCAGAAGCCGTAAGAACAAAGTTGGAACCAGACTCCAGCTGGGTAAGGCAGACACTGTTGGGGAGGATGAAACAGCAAAACCTTATAAATATGATTGCCTGGCAAAAGATTTTGAGAATATAGAAACTACAAGTGAGATTGAAATGAAAGCAAGTTTTGAGATCCCTTAGTTACTGAACAACTGGAAAACAATGGTGTGGCCAGCTGAAGGTAATCCCCTCTTGATGAAACAAGACCCTCTGCTTGCAGACAGCTCCAAGGGTCAGAGCAGACCCTGCCAGCTTGGCAGAAGGGGTCCAAAGAGGAGTTTTTAGGGTTTAAAATGTAACACAGTATGGTGATGTAGTGATTCTTATAGGCTGGATGGAAATGCTATAGGATTTGTATGTTGGACTAGATTGGTTAGTGAGCATCAGAATATTCAACACAGAAGATGATTCATTGTATTGTAACGGGAACTTTGCTCACTTCTTCTTCCCTTTCTTACTCACTTCTTACTTTCTCACTCACTCACCTACTTACTTTCCATTTACCCTCTTATGCTTTTACGTTCTTACTTCTCATCCTCTGTACCCCTCTCTTCTCTCGGGCCTGCTCTGAGCTGCGGCTGGCAGCTCCCAGCAGGGCCCTGCACCACGCCCTTTGCAATAAACCAATAGTTCCACGACCTGGCTGCAGAGATCTCTCTCGTCTCCATCCATCCCGACTGTGTGTGACCCCCGGCACTCCTACAAGACACCAAATCCTTTGGAATTAGAACTGGGCAGGGGTGAGAAGAATTAATAGCTAAATTTGTACCCCCATGGATTCCTGAGCAGGATCCCAGCAGGGAAGACTGGAGGGATACTCCACAAGAAAGTCCAAACTGGGAACTGTTCCCAGATGGGAGCAGCAAGCCTTGGAATTGCCTGAAGGGAAGAAAGAGGGATCCTTTGAGCTCAAGAATCAGCTGTTGAACGTGGTGATGTTATCAGATGATTCCTCAGGAATGTTTAGTTCCCAAGCCAAGTCAATCTGCTGCCTTGTGAAGCTCAGAAATCTTGGAAGAACCCAACTAATGTAGGGAATGGACTGGCAGATAAGACTGCTGGGGAATGGTAGGGAAATCATCCTAACAGAGGGCCTCCTTTTGTACTGGAATGGTGCAAAAATTATCCAAAAGAACAGGAGTCAAATGGGATTTACAGATTCCTTGGAGACCACAATCCAGTGGGAAGGCTGAGAAAAGGGAACAAAGCCTGCAAATGAGCCAAATCTGCGGAACACCTCAAATGACTAGAAACACTGTTTCTAGAATGCACCCATGTAATTCCTTAAAGATATGGCTCAGTTAGGAGCAATACCAATAAAGCCCACAGATGAAAAGCCTGTTGTTAGCTTTTTTTTTTTTCCTTTAAAAACCCCAACTATCAACTATCTAAAGAATGGTTTAGTAATTCAGGTGAGTTCAGCTTGCCACATTCTGTTGAAAAAGGATCAACTAAATCTATGCTCTAAGATAAAAAGACCAGTTCAATGTATGAAGGAGGGTGCAACACACAGTATCATTTTCCCATTGAACCTTGGCAACAGGAAAAGCTTCTCTCTGCCCCAGGAGCTGCAAGGAATTTGGGCCAGTAAATGACATCGGAGAATGACCATAAATTCAGAGGCAGAAAGAGAAGATCTGCCATTTAAAGGTAGAAAAATGTTGCAGTGTGAGGTAATACCCTGTTTTCAGCCATCACAGTCCCTTTCCCAGATGTGCCAATACTTTCTCCTGAGAATCACCATAAATTCAGAGGCAGAAAGAGAAGACCTACCATTAAAAGGTAGAAAAAAGGGAAAGGTTTCAGAAAACATCTCTGCACTAAAATTAATAAATATTTCCAATTTCTCTGTGAGAAGAATAGAACTCTGCAGCAATTAAGGCCGCTGCAGGACAGGCCAAGAGGACAGTTCACAGCAGCGAGAGCTCAGCACACATCCAGAAAGGCAGTTCCAGCATCTAAAAATAAAAAAAAAAGGAAATTTTGATATATTTTGTTTTAAAGTTACTTGAAGTTCTTAAAACCAAACCAAACTTTGCTCCTGATTTTGGCTCGCTGGCACAGACACACAGGAAGCTAAGGGTCACACAAATCCTGCTTTCAGAATTCCTGATCCAAACCCTCACCTTTCCCACCCAGAGCTGAGGGAAATCTGACAGAGGATTAATAAAGAACCTTTATTGAGAGAAGTCATCACCTTAGGCCTTCAGGCTTGGCAAGATTTGGTAGTGAATGGACTCAAATTCAACTCCTCCATCTAAATCTCGGACAAGTCTTCTCAGAAAGATATCGGACAGTCACTCAGAGCGCAGAATTTAAAGACTGCATGAGGAAGAACAGAAGCTTTGACATGAATTACACGAGTTCCTTTTTCTCCCTCAATCACTCTGAGACTGTCGGACCTGATCTTTGCAACCTAAAGCAGACCTAAGGCACTGGTTCCAGCAGTAGCTGCAGTTCCAAGCTTTCTGTTCCCTGGATTGCTCACCTAAGCACTCACAGCAATCTCATCTTGGCCCAGTGACTCTCTGTCCTCAGAGGGAAGGAACCACAAACTGGTGGGACACAGCTCTGGCACCACATTTCCTCTTCCCTTCTCCCCTTTTCCAGCGGACCAGGCTGCTGGAAATGGCATTTCTTACACAGTTCATCACTATTGGAATATGAATCCCAATATTACCAGTTAGATGGTGCCTGGGCCAGTCTGACCCTCGCTGCTGGGCCAAAGGCAGCAACTGTGGTGTATCACCCCAGAGATACCTTGGCTTGCTGGAAGTTGCAGCTGGGCACTGAACAAGTCCAGGCTTGTTAGGAACTCTGTTTACCTCAGGAGGAAGAGCTTCTGGCGATGGTGAAGAGAAAAAGGAGAGGATTCTGCTGGAGGGTTTAATGTCCAGAGGTTTATTCCAAGGTTACAGAGGTCTGAACGTAGGCAACTGCTCCAACAGAATGAATGACCGCATGGCCTGATTACCTTTTTAAGCTCAGGGACAGGGGGAGGGGAGGTACAGCTGAGCACCAACCAGGTGAGAGGGGCCGGGTCTCAGGGGGGGATGACACCTAGACAGGCCAATGACCCCTGGGCATAGGGGCATCTTTTGAACTTGACCAACCACACAACGCCTTGCTGGAATGTTAAGCCTGATTGACAGGACTCACTCAGCAAGGGGCGAGGGGGAAGGGAGAGAGGTATAGGCGCACCTGGGAGGTGACTTGGAAGTCTAAAATGGGACATTACAGCACACCGCAACACATCACAGTAGAGAGGAGAAGAGGAACCTGTGACTTACCCATACCATGGGCAGTACCACGTTGGGTTTGGCTGCTCAAACACCAAAGCTCTTGGCAAGGATAGGACAAGTTAAGTGGTTCTTCCTGTCCTCATAGAGAGGAGAAAAGGGAAGTTAAGCCCACTGTGGCATCAAAGATTCCTGCACTTCATCTTTTGGCTCAGATTGCTCACCATGGAGTTTTAGCCATAGAAAAGGAGAGGTGACACGAAATCAAATGGAAAAGTGCTCTTTCCCAGTGTTTTTATTCCAGGCATTCAAGAAAGCTCATTTTTCTTCTAGCTTTGTTTCCCCAATTTTAGCAGAACTATTCTCATCCTAGGTCCCACAAGCCAGTTGTTCAATCCTTTGACTGGATCTGGACAAAGGAAGGGACACACCCAGATCACAGGAAAGCATGGAGAGAAAGCCCTTCAAAACTGGACAGAGAAAAACAACAGGAAATGCAGGAAGACAGAGGCCTTCTTTGCATGTTTCCATTCCTTTTCTAAAGACATCTGTGCAGCTAGATGCTCTTTGCATTTGGCTTCCTTTAAAGGAATGGATTTGCTGCTTAAACACATCTCAGGCCCAGGTGTAACCAGGAGAAGGTGGGATGGAGATGAGGAGTCAGGGAATAGCCAGGGTTATGCAGGGCCTGGGAACATTGAGGATGGAGAAGAGAACGAGCAGGGATTGTTCTCCTTGTTTAGATCCATCAGTGCAGGGAGCTTGGAAAACGCAAGGTACCAGAGGGATCCTGGCCAAAAGCAGGATAACTCTGGGATAAGGGCAAGCTACTCCTGGTCCAGGGCTGTGCTGAAGAAGAAGGGAAATTTTTTTCTCTCCCCTTTCCAGTGGGGTGCCACCCCTGCTAGAGGCAGGAAAACTGCCTTGCAATCCAGTACAAAACCTGCCTGGCAAGCCAGGATCTCAAGGAGCCAGCAGCCATTTCTCTTGGATTTCCTTCTCACAGGCATTTTAAGCCTGCTTTGCCTCACAAGCACTTTTCTGCCAAGGGTATTCCCATCTTTTTTAGATCCTGAAAAAAGGTTTGGAAAGCTGACTTTGATGAAAGAACTGCTTCCTATTTTGATTAGTCTTAAGTTGGATTTTCCCTCAGCACCAAAATCAGGGGGTGAACCCAATGTGGCCTCAAAGGGCCATAAGATCCCAGCTGTCCAATTGCCAGTTCCCTCAGCACTAATTTGTTGAACCTTTTCAGGGTTAATTTAGCAGACTTAAGGGTTTGGCAATGTCAGGGTCAAAACAATCAGAAACTTGTGAAAAAGAAACTGAACTTAAGCCGGCTGAAGGTGGTCCTTGCTGATGACTAATTACAACCACTCATTCAAAAGGAGGCAGGATTGATTCAAAACTCACCGGCCCATCTGGCCAAGGCCAGAGCTCTCTGCCCACCGAGGACACAGCAACCAACAGGGACCTTTCTCCCACTCTCCAGCATGGACCTCCTCCCTCCACACACAGGGAACTGCAGCCACTCCGGGAACACTGACTTAGTCCTTGGCTGGCAATAGGAGAGGCACAAAGAATATTTAGAACTCTTTCTGACCTCAATGCCACCCAGACCTGGGAGAAAGCACTTCCCACTGCTCCTGGAATTTTCTTCCTTGTCCCTTCCAGCTTTGGAAGGTTTCTGTGGGAGCCGGGATTATCCATGTGGTTCAGAAGCTGCATGTGGTACCTAAAGCATTCCCTTGGGAACATGAAGCTTCCCTTGTGCCTTTCAATTCTTTATCCCAAATATTCTCCCCAATGATCCACAACCTAGAAAGAAAAAAAGGGAAAAGAAGGAAGACTAGTTCATTCTGATATAAGGAGCGTTGGTTATCCCAACACACGTCCAGGTGAAAAAACATTTCTGCCACTCTAACAAATACTCTTGATACTGTCTCAACTCAATAGTAACTATTTAAATATTACATTAAGAATCATAAGGACACAACTCTTCGAATTCTCAAGAATGCCTCAGCTTGGCTACTTCAAGGACTTCCCCACCCAGAAAACTGAGCAGTCCGAGATTTAAACACCATATTTGATAAAAATCTGATAGAAATTTGATAATGTTTGGCTACTAAACTTTTCCAAAAGCTGTGGAGTGAAGGCTGGAAATCCTCACTGAAGCTTTTCCATGTCCCATCTGGATTTATTCTTGGGAAAACCCCATTCAGAGGACTTTGCTTTAAAGGGGTTGCACTTGATGTTACAGACATCAGAATTCCTTTGGGATTTGGCATTTCCTGCACCTCCAAACATCTTAAAAGAATCAAGTGCAGAGTCCTGAGTCTCAATTATTCCCACTTTCCTCAGCTCCACATGGATTTGTGCCTCCTCTGAAGGCCTGGAAAGGAATTTGGGGATCCTCTTCAGTTGGTTTGATTTTCAGCTCTTTCTCTGAGGTGGCCCAAAAAGCAAACAGAAAAAATCGCTGTAACAGCACAAAATCTCAACCCATCCCAAGTTGCAGCTCCTCACACTAAACCTTGGGAGAATCCATGGTGGTTCCAGCACTGCTCTAATCCCACCTCAAACTGAGTGTCCAGGGAGCTGTGCCAAATTCACATCCAAGCCTGGATAGCTGAAAGCTTGCAGGAAAAGGGGAGGCAAAGCGAAGGGGAGAGGGGAAATAATGGAGTCTTGGGTTTTCCCTCTGTGTGCAACAGAAGTGAAGGGCAGGATGGAGAGGTTCCATGGTATTTTAGGTTGGAAGATGTAGCTGGGGGTGTGTATTTTATCACCATCTGTTAGAGGTGGGGCAGTTATCTTCTGTTAATTGGGCACTTTTCTTTATCTCTTCCACAACCTCCAGGAGGTATATATCTTCTGTTAATGGGCCAATGAGTGTCACTGCATGGCTGATAAAATAACATAATTCCATTGTGAGAAGCTCCACCCAGAGGGAGGAGCCAAACATTCCTTCCTGGATATAATCTGAGATTTGGAACACCACAGTTGGGCTTTTCTCGCTGGATTCTCAGAGGAAGACCAGGCCCATCTACACCACCACTGGATCTTCAGAGGAAGGCTACACCCTTCTTACAGGATC